GCATCTTTATCAAATAGAGTTGAGCAACATAATTCCTAGAAAGTACACACGGAGGCATGTGCTCTGTATATGAAGCGTGGCAAAAAGTTCGACCATTGATAAGAAACTTGACGATGAAATTCGAAGACGCATAATTTTGAGACAAGTTCTTTGTAGATTATTCAAAAATTAAAGGCATTGTGAATTTGACGGAACGGAATATTCGAAACTTTTTTCCGTCTATTGATCTCATCTGTATAAAATTAAAATATTTATAGTTCTAATCTCGCACTTAAGATGCAATATTAATATTTTTAGAAAAAAGGATGAAATGTTGTCCGGATTTTTTTTTCTATAAATAAAATATAAAATTCTTTTCTGTATAATAAACATTTCATATTATCATGTGCATCATTGGTTATTTAATCTCATTTTCCTACATTAACATGTCTTTAATGAACCCACCCCTCTAAAAAATGACTTATAGACTTCTAGTAGGAATAAGTTCAAGTCACTGTATTCTTTTTTATTCCTATCTATAAGTTTGAAGGCCAATCGGTTTCTTTTAATGTGAAAAGTTGACAAGCGAGCAAACGGTTCACCTGATGTTAAGTGAATACCGCCGCCCATGGACATCTGCTACATCCAAGGGTTCCAGATGACAACCTTTTGAAAATGGGGCTCCGGCCACCTCACTCACCAGATGAAACGCAAAAGTATTAAACATACGCTTTACCCCGGTCTTATGTGAGGTCGTGGTACTTACCCGGACGAGCCTCGTGCAACAGCCGAGGCTGCTGTGTGGCCCTACCACCGTTCAATATAAATTCAAGCTGCGTACGTAAGAGGGAGTGGATGGCCTTTTTTTCTCTATGCACCGGGGCCCTTATCCGTCTAATTACGCCATGGTGCATTAAGAACCAAACACATAATATATGAAGTATATAAAAACAAATAAAAGTTATTTTTCACACACAAATATTTTCTTGATGCGACAATAATTTCTTCAGATGAAAAGTTTGGCTGTTAGGTACCTAAAAGAGTAAACTGGAGGAGAAATAGTGATTGCTTACCAAAAACTTTAAATATCGTTATAATTAAATGTTTTTAACAATTAGTCTTGACCGATTCTCATAAATATTTGAAGTTTAAAAATATTAATTAAATTGCTCAATAGTGAGAGTAATATCATATCGTAATAATATGAAAAGTGTATATATAACGGAAACAGACAAAGACCGCAATTGCATTCTTACTAATAGTTACGGTACAATAATATGGAATATATTGACTTACAACAATGTCACAATCATAATTATTATACTTTCTTTATAGCTGCTCGCCCGTAGCTTAGTCTTAAAGTAAAGTAACAGCCTATACATGTCCCACTGCTGGGCAAAGGCCTCCTCTATACAGAGGGTATCAGGGCATAGTCCACCACGCGGCCCCACTGCGGATTGGCGGACTTCACATATTTTCGAAATATATATATTTTTTTTGTTATTATTTCGAAAACATGCAGGTTTCCTCACGATATTTTCCTTCACCGCGGAGCACGTGATAAGTCAGCACTTAAAGTTAAAAACTTCATTGGTGCCGGCACCGGGGATCGAACTCGGGTCGCTCGAGTATATTGAATTAAAGGCGAGCGCCCGGACACTGAGCTATCACGGCTCACATTGACCTGTGAATTAATATGTGATGTCTGGATGTTTTCATATGTATAATATGTATTTATTTAAAAAAGAAAAGTTTGTTCAAGTATGTTTATCAGTTTTCTATTACCCATAGTACAAGCGGTGCTTAGTTTGGGACTAGAGAATGTTGTGTAAAAAATATGTCCGAAATATTTATATTTATAATATAGGTACAAAATGTCTTATGTAAGATATGAAAATTCTTTACAATTTCTTGATTTAAAATATGCAAAAAGAGAAGATAGTTTTCGAAATCTTCGCGCTGTGAAAATATTGGAAGCTTAGTTCAGTTGTCCAAAGCGTCTAGGCGCGTTACCCCGTAGGCGTAAGGTTCGTCCTGACAGTGGTAATAAAAACATTAAATAACATAGATAATATTATATTGGTGTTTATACAACTTATATAAAATTTTTATTATTTATGTTTTGAGTTTTTTTTTTGAGTAACATAAAATTGACTAGGAGATTATATGAAAGAAAAGATTCGCGGTTTAATAAAGAAACGAGGTCCCTTCTGAATTTTATTTTGTCTTATTTATGGTAATTTTAGAGACTGCCTAATGATGTGATTATTAAGTTTGTCAATGAGTAAGGTTTTCGATGTATCAAGCTTAACCTAGCTTCATATGTTTCAAAAGTTAGTGTTAATACCTTTAAATTGACAGTGCTTGCATCTTTATATCGACAAGCTAGCATTTCAGTTTTCACGTCAAGGTGAAAAAATACTTTAAGAATTATTTTTAATTTAATTATACTTTAGTAGATATTAGAGATTTATATGAACGAACTTACTTTGACTTCGTTGCGCCGGCGCTAATTGGCTTCCGCGTCGGGGTAGTGGATTCGATTCCCACACAGGACAAATGTTTGTGTGACCCACATATGTATAATTACGGTCCATATAGTCCCGGATATAGGTGGTTTAGGTGGCCGGTCGTAAAAAGCATAGCCAATACCGGATGCAACATGATTCACCATGTTGTGGCAAAGGTCACCTAGGCCCACCTAGGTGGCGAAAGGGCAGGAGAATGATGATGATAACAAACGAACTTAACGTCATTTAATATCCTCTCAATAATATAATAATTACGTGTTTTACGTTCACTTTCAGTTTTTATGTAATAATTACACATAAAAAATACACTTAACAACCAACTTATCAGGTGTTCATAAATACACACATAAATTACTCAATTACAGTATTGATATAACGCCTTGCTGATGAAATGCAATGGAAATGAAATTTAAAATGAAGTGGCGGGCGTTAGAGCGTAGTATTTTGCGATTAATTGAATAAAGAAAGTCGACAAATCGAAAATAAAGAGAAAAAGTGTGCGGCGGCACGTGCAACGTCTCGTATGTATCGTAAATAAGCCGAGCCTGAGCGCCTACAGCGAGATGCGCACGGTAAATAGGAATAACGGTGCATTTACAACCTCCGCACCGGTGCGCGCTAGCCTCGCCTCGGAACATTGCCAATTCCCATTGCTCAAGTCTTTACATCGGAATTTCTCACTTGTACGACCATAAATAGATTTACTATTCATTACGTTTTATAGAAACTCATAACTCGAGCCTGTGTTCCATGAAAAACCTTTAATGATTGATATATGAACATGGGCTAACATTAGACACAGCCCTAAACGTACATCTCCAATCATAAACAGTTTATCAATCAATATACATACATACTAAAGAAAAAGGAGGTTACTTTACCATTATCTCAAATACTTCCGCCCTTCTAGTCTTTTAGACGTAATTATTATTATTATTGTTATAAAACTTTCTAACAGACAGACGAGCAAGCCTCGAACCAATAAACAATTTATTCAGTGAAATGTCGATTCCGATGTTTAGTAAAAGCACTTACCTGTCGGTCGCTTCATTTGAATCACATTCAAAGCTTATATTTTACAGCACATAATTTTGTGATTTGCAGGTCTCGGGTGATAAGAGCGCTGTCCAATGGAGCATCTGAGCACTCTCCCGATACTGTTAGGTTGTATAATAGATTAGTCGTTAAATCTAATTCTAGAAGGCAGGACCGACTACTGCCCGAAAGTTACGGCTCTATAAAATAAATCCTACGCACTGAATGATTCCCGTAGAAGCCAGAAGATTGCGTCAACGGTTTTAAGTCGTAATTTTAAATAAAAAAAAAAAGAATGTTATTTCTATGTTATATATAGCACTTGCACAAGGTGTAAATTGAAACACACATCAGAAGTAATCAATGTTTATTAAAACATCATGATTAGGACAAAAACTAACAGCATCAAATTTATTTCCAAAATGAAAAAACATCGTTACAATATTTTCAAACTCTACATTAGGTAGTTTTAATTAATTATTTTGTTTTTATACAATACTTCTGATCCTAACTATAAAGAAAATAATAACCAGTTCAAGTGTACCATAAACCGTTTTGCGATATTGCAAAACTTATCTATATAAGAATAAACATTTCTCATTGGAATATTTTATTTTAAAATGATTATTTGTATATTACATAAGATCCTGTATAATCTTTAGTACAATTTAACAAAAAAGGCATGTATAATATGTGTCAATAAGTCGTGGTGGAATAACTTTTTTCTAATTACATATTTTCTTAACTCTATAAAATTCATCTACGTTAGCACTGCAGTCGTTTATAAAGTTTTGTGAACTATAAAATATTCGCTGAAATTACACAAGTACATTTCTTAAAAACGAAACAAGAGTAAATAAAAGAATAAAATGACACATCTAGGCAACGGACATAACCTACTTTAGATCAAAGTTAACGAATAAAAGAGGTGATTTAAAAGTCATGCATTCGTGTGACAATCGATGTAAGCGAATTAGTTATACATAGTGGAAAAGTAGCGTAAGCATTTTGCACATATAAAATAGAAAGATTATTTCATAAGCTTTAACCAACAAAAATAATAAAAAAATATATTCGTTATTATACAAAAAAACGGGGGTAAAATGTAAAATAGAAATAATTCATCGTCACCTAGTCAACCGTGGTTTAAAATAATTATAAGATATTTAAAATGTATATGAGAAGGAAAAAAATAAGTAACAATGAAAATCGTGGCCCAAGGAACACGGAGGTGGAATCCTAAAGCTCGTAACAAAATGTACTTTATCGTTGGATCGTTCTATCGGTGTATTAATTTTTACTTATCTATTCAATTCCTACACTAAGCGGGCGCGCACACCAAACAGGAGGCCGCGAGCGTTTCGTCTAAACGTTATTTATATCATTTATGCGCCGCGGCGCGACGTCGATTCGCCCCGCGTCAGCGTATCCATGGGCTGCCGGGGATACGAGTCAATTATGTCCACTTGTTGTATTCCCCGAGCTCGACTGCGTATTCTGTAACAAAGGCAAACGGTAACCGGCTCAGATCGATCCACTCCACGTTTGGTTATAACATATAGGGTATCGTGCGACCGTCGAAAGGTGCCGCCACGCGTGGAGATTCAATAACTGTCCGCCGACGTATTTTATTGCGGCGTACTAGGGAGGTCAATCTTTAATTTATTCAATTCATTTATGATCCACAAATCAGACAATGACAGGAGAGATAGAACGAAATAAACGACCACATTTATCGGTCATTGTCCGAAATATGTGCATACACTTTAACAGTTACCTTAAAAAAATATCTGGGTTACGCCTGCGTTGTCACTACAATATACGACTAATAGTTTATGATCAGATTCTGTGAATATACATGTAAAATGATTGAAAATAACAACGCTGTCTATTACTTATATGTCTATTTAATCAAATTTGTTTTTCATTTCACATTTATGTAATATTTAATAATTAATATTTGAAGGACCGATCATATTGTTTTCTCCTTCTTAAATACTTGTGGGTATATTATAATACCTATAATTTTATTTATATTTTGTATTAAAAATCTTTTCGCCTATCTTGCTTTTTAGAGCTTATAACAGTCAAATAAAGTCAGTGCATAGCATAGTTATCAGAAGTCGTTATTTCGACTTTCCATTTCAAAAATTGTTGAAATATATCCGCGATGTCATTTCTATTTGTAATGAATAAATCAGCCGTTATATTTTGTTCTCATCCTCATGATTATGTGAGCTTTATCGCCTGTACTTATAAAAACATGCTATATGTGTGTTTATGTTATCATAATAATCTAGTTACATTAGCCAAATGGGCCCAAACAGAAATGTTTTCTTCAAGGAATAATAAGGGAATAATAAGGGAAATCTTGGTGCTTCTTACAAAGAACTATAAGACTGTTACAACATAGACATGAGTTTAGCTATGAAACTAACCAAAATACAATAGAGCTCTTTGAAGCTTCGCTGTTACGTGGATACGCTAAATGTTCACATGACGCCCATTTGTGCCAGACTATGTTTGGCGATACGTGCAAGTTGAATAATGGCGTTAAGTTAAAATACTACTGTTACTAAACACTCGTGTAAATCAAATAATCTATTCAAATTTTATTATGAAACCATACTGCAGAAACAAACAATCCATTATGTTTGGTCCTTAGTGGTTTGGGTCGTTATTAATCTTTATATAATATAATTCTTCTGTACGTGTGTATGTCAATGAACTAGTCCTAAACGACTAGACCGATTTTAATGACATTTTTATGTGTGTTCATGTGTATTCGAGAATGGTTTGGATTCACAAAGTTATTAAAAAAAATGAAATATTCGAATTAAAACGTGTGTACAGGACAACGTCTGTCCGCTCTGCCAGTATACAACAATTATTAAAACTATAGTTAATGTAATTGAAACGAATCCTTACAGGAGAAGCGGTGTCGTCACAGCTGAGGCCCGCCCATTGCACGAAGGAGGGCAGGTCCCTCGTAGGCAGGTCCGCAGCCAGGGCCTTCACGCGCAAGTTCCGATCGTCCGTCAGCAACACCACCTCGCGAACTCTACGCCCTTTAGGTGACTCCCCACTCTCCTCTTGCGTACCTAAAAGGGATACACCGCTATAGTCGTATTCATTATTATACAGTTGCTAACTTTGCGTTGAGGCCTGCGTGCATGTTGAACGCGGTGGTGATAGCTCGAATCGTCGATAGAAACTTACTCGAGAATGATACAGCTTAGTGGTTAGAGCGTCTGGACCGTGATCTGGAAGGCGCCGGTTCGAATCCCGACAGTGGCGGAAATCATTTTACAACATCCTTAACAGCGTACAGACGGATAGGTATTTTTGGCAAACGAGGTTGTGGTTCACCTGACGCTATAGTGGGCATCGGCTACCTCGCTCACCAGAACGTAAACGCAGACGTGTTACACTTCCACTTCACGCCGGTCACCTGCGGGGCCGCGGTACTTACACCGACGGGCGCTGCCCGTTAGCGCAACAGCGGACACTGCTACGCGGACCCACCCTTTTTTGTTTGTTCGCCGTTTGCCCCTTTTCTCCACAAAACTCCCCACCACAGCCGAGGTGTACGCACCGGGAAGGCTCGGCCTAATGGGCCTTGACACCGGGCCATAGAATCCAAAAACAAAAATGTACGCACCGGGCGGCGCGTCCGCGTCGGCGTGCGCGTGCGCGTGCGCGTGCGTGTGCACGTTCGCGTGCAGGTTGAGCGCGGTGGCGAGCACGCGGTCGTCGTTGGAGGCGCGCGGGTGGTCGTGCTCGGCGGTGAAGCTGCGCGACGCGAGCAGCGAGCCGCGCGCGGTCGCGAGCCGCACGCCCGCCGCGCCCGCCAGCCACGAGCGCGCACCGCCCGCCGCGGCGCCCACGCGCTCGCACCGCCGCAGACCCTCCAGCTCCGCCACCACTGATGTAGCCACATTATTGCATACAAATAACGACGCTATTAACTGCACATTGTACAACGTTAACAGTGTGCGCCGTCGGGTTGGCTAATGAAACTACATATTATGACACGGCTTTTTATCGCCAACGTTGCCTGGGGACTGCCTTGCATCACGACCATATACACAATTCTACATAAATGTAAGCACAACAGCACCTTATAAACAGTTATAAATATAATTCGTTATTAGGCTTTATGCAAACATAAATTTCTTGAATTGTAAAAATTGGGCTAATGTAGAGCCATCGCAGGGTTTTGTCATTAGGTGAGGGTAGCTCATCTGATGGTAAGCGATCATCATACATATTTAAAAACTTTCAAAAGCAAAGCAGACCTATCAGACAAAATTAGGCTTATTCTTGAAGATCAACAACATATCGCTCCAGATGATTAGATCACATCAGGTTGACCTTTTGTAGCTTTAGTTTTTTGGTTTTTTAACAATAAACGTAAATCGTTCTAAGTGTATTAAAAATCTCATACTCAAATGCAACATAACACGTCATGATCTCAATTAAGTGTAATTAGTCATCTAAAATTATCGCAGAACGTAATCAGCACTCTTGATTCCCCTCTTCGAGTATTTCCAAAAGTATCATCAGCAGGACGTCGCTTTCGATACCGAAAAGTCAATTAAAGAAGAATCTAATACAGGCTTTTATTAATAAGATGGCAACTAAGCAAGGTATGATGCCACCGTGGCGCAGATGCCAAGGTATTAGCTTCGGCGCCGAGGTCATGGATTCGATTCCCACACGAGACAACTATTTGTGTGGCAGCTAAAATTTATGTATTTAAAACGTTCCTAAAACAAAGGATAATGATATCCTGCAGAAAAGGGGCAATGTTTTCAAAGGAAAGACTACAATAGATCTTTCTGGATCGCAGTGGTCGTTGGATCTTATTACCCAGCCCCTAACACAAAAAATACAATACATATATAATGAATGACATCGCACTTGGAGGATCACAATGTCAGATATGTCGCAAGCCCATGGGGTTGGCTTAGCTCACCGACTAGGGGCACGGCGAGGGTGTACGGCTGGCCGGGGGCGTTGGCAATGGCCTGCAGCAGCGGCAGGTGGTCGATGAAGCAGTTCGTGTCGGGCACCAACCAGCGAGGCCGCACCTCCACTTCCACGCCGGAACTGGCGCCGCCGACCATTTCCTGTACAATCGACATTCACGGTGACGCCGTGGGTTTCCCCGCGGAGTCGGGTGGAAAACAATTGACCGCGGCGGTCGAGAAAAAACAGTACGGGAACTCCGACTGGCCAAGTCATTGTTTGCTCGTTGAAAAAAATTAATGGCTTGGTTTAAAGAATGACATGTCAAATGATAGTAATTTAGCGATCTAATTTTTAATAACTAATCGAAAATTTTGTACGGTTTATACGTAACGCAAGTCTTTGGTAAATTAAGTAGATCGCGAATGTTATTTTAACTGAGTTGTATCAATTGGATTCGTTGTGCGTTTGTCAAAATATTGGCTTCGGAATATCGGTTCCCACGGGACAACTATTCGTGTGACCCCCGGATATTTTTTTCGGATCTGGCTCTTTGTCTACGTGAAATAAATGTGTCTAAAACCTTACTCAAAACACAGGATAAAGTCATCCAACAGTAAGGGCAATGTATTTACAAATGAAAAAAGAAAAAAATGCCTTTTCCGGAATACACTTAAAAAAACAAATTTTCGACGTTCAACCCAAGGTTTAACTAAGTACTCAGTTTGAGTGTAACAAGCGTCGTTTAACACACGGAAACGGGAGCAGACACAGGGGCGGAACTAGGCTTGCAGCAAGCGGGCGCACCTGCATCCGCTGTCGGCGTCGCTCCAGTGTGGCCTTGCGCGACTCGAGCTGCTCCTTGCGCCTGAGCAGCCTGCGCGTCGCCTCGTCCGCGCCCTCCGGCAGCGGCGCGCCCGGGCCCGAGCAGAGGCCGGCGGGCTCGCTCGCCGCGGCGCCGCACGCGCTCTCCCCGTCGTCAGAGTCCTCGGCCTCGACGAACAAATCGACGAAATATGAAAACCCCTTTATACCCGCTGATTTCTAGGGTTCCGTAACCGAAGGGTAAAACGGGACCCTATTACTGAGACTCCGCTATTTATCTGATTGAATATCTGTCTTTCTGTCCGTCTGTCACCAGGCTGTATCTCATGAACCGTGATAGTTGGAAAGTTGAAATTTTCACAGATGGTGTATTTCTGTTGCCGCTATAACAACAAATACTAAAAATCAAGAATAAAAAATATTTGAGTTGCTCCCATGCAACAGACACGATTTTTTTTGCCCTTTTTATAGATAATGGTGCGAAACCTTTCGTGCGCGAGTCCGACGCGCGTTTGTGTCATATATTAACCACCCGTAGGACGGCAGTTGCGTTGCTATCTTTTTAATCAGGTACGTGCGCACCGGTTATTTCTCTCACCAGACGAAAAGCAGAAGTGTAACACTCCCACTTCAGGCCGGTCTCCTGTGCGGTCGTGGTACTTGCACCGACGGACCTGCCCATTCGTGCAATAGCGAAGACTATTGTGTGGCCCTACTGCAATTAATACTCGCGACTTCGTCTGCACGGTACTAAGGTAGGTTTTTACAATGTCGGCATAGACCTACAGTGTCGAGGTGGCTTACAGCGCCATAGAGTTCTAACCTAACTCTACAGTGTTTCTAGAATCTTTTGCCACACTGTCGAAACCGGAACTGACGCCGGCCTCATGTCAAACATCAAAATAATTGTTTCTTATAGCTTTGATAACTACATTAAATGAGGAAATCACAATATTTTTTACAATAGTTTTTTGTGAAAGTGATAATTGTCTAAAAAATAAAAAAACTGCAGAACTCTATTAGTCTGCTTATATAAGAAGGTAGAGAAAATTTTAAATGATGCTTCATTATACAGGAAGATTTTTTGAGAAGTGCCCAAATTTACACAGGACGTTCAGACTCGGTAGTATAATCGTTTATTGATATAAAAAACAAAGTTTTTTTTCCAAAATAAATTTCCCTAAAACGTAACAGAACGTGTTGACAATGCGGTAGTCATTCATAAATACCTAAATTTTACTGTGCACGAACTTGTGTGCGTGTTAGTTATGAATGATCGCGCGTGAAATAAATGAGTTGCGTAGAAATCACGCACATTTTGAGATAAGTTCAAATGAATGTAATTAATTACTTACGATTGATTTTAAATATTTATCCTTTTTGTATAACATTAATTATGTCTAGAATTTAATAAAAAAAATATGGATTCACTTAGAAAAGCCACCCTGTATAACAGCTGTGTCGAAAGGCCAAACAACAGTCGCAAATAATCACTATGCATATCGAGATACTCGTCAATAATAAAAATTACCAGATTCTGTAAGGGCGGGTATTGCGGCTGTGTTTTTTGCACTGCGCTGACGTAACGGGGCGAAGCTCCCGACGGATACTCCAGCTTCAACACTGGCGGCTCCACACCCACAAGGTATCTAAAATGGTTTACTTGATTTTATGTACATTCAATTAAATTAATCACCACCGTAGAATGTTAATCATTTCAACAAAGATAGCCATTTTTTAATTTTCGAGAATTCCAAAGAATTTCCAAAGAAAAATAGCTCTAGTAACGAGCGTTGCCATGTCGGTTCCGTTACCGCTACCATAGCTAGCACTAAAGCAGCGATGGTTTCCTCCAGTAGGCAAGAATTAGTCAGTCGGCCCGTGTACCCACTCCGTGTCGACGGGTCAACGGTTACGAGCAATCGCGTAACCATTGACCCGTCCTTCCCGTTGCCGCTACCACAGCTAGCACTGAAGCGGCGATGGTTGCCTCCAATCCTATAGGTACTAGTCAGTCGGCGGGTGTACCCACTCCGTGCCGAAGAAGAGCAGCTTCCTCGTGCGGAGCGCGTGCTCGGCGGCGTGGTGGGGCGCGGCGCGGTCCGCCCGCAGCCACGCCACTGCCGGCTCCATGTACATCAGCGGCGTGAAGCCGGCGAGCGAGGCGTCCTCCGACAGACGCACCGCCACGTAGCCTGCACCAAATTCACCACTTGTATCATCAGTCGCCAATGATATGATATATATACAGGGTGATTCTTTAGACGCGGTACATACTTTGACATAATGTTAATTCAGCATTCCATAATTAAAAAAATATATATTAATACTTTTTTTTTGACAAGAAATAACCAGAAAAATATAAATTCAAACATTTTTTTTTATTCCGTTAATAGTGGTCACCCCACTACAGACAGCAAGAAATCAAACAGTGAGATCAGCGGCTAAGCAGTATTGAGACGGTAAGGCAGGAATTTTTAATATGGTGTCCGTAATGTTTGAAAAAAATAAAAATAATGTTCGAAAAAAAAATGACACAAGTTCGTACCAGATTCAGATTTAGAATCAAATTCTGCATATGCTCTCTTAATATGTCCGTCGTCTATAAAATCAGCCTATATATGAGGTAGATATGACACTAGCGCACCGAACTGAGACATCCAAATTATGCAAGAGAGAGAATGAAGAGAATATTAGACTGTATCTCTTTCCGTATCTTATGTTCTATATCATCTATCACCTTCACTTGTATATGTCATATATTGCAAAGCGGAACAATTTTTAGGGTTGCGTACCCAAAGGGTAAAACGGGACCCTATTACTAAGACTTCGCTGTCCTTCTGTCTGTCCATCACCAGACTGTATCTCATGAACCGTGATAGACAGTTGAACAAATGATGTATTTCTGTTTCCGCTATAAAAAATACTAAAAAACAGAAGACAAAAATATTAAAGTGGAGCTCCCATACAACAGACATGATTATGCCGATTTTATAGATAACTAGCGACCCGCCCTGGCTTCGCACGGGTGCAATGTAATATATATACATATAAACCTTCCTCTTGAATAATTTTATGTAGTAAAAAAACCGCATCAAGATCCGTTGCGTAGTATTAAAGATCTAAGCATACATAGGGACAGACAGCGGAACGACTTTGTTTTATACTATGTAGTGATGGTACGGATGGTTTTCCTCGGCCGGTCATCTTTATTAAAACATCATTTTCCGCCACACTTTCAATTGCCTCGGTGAATCCATATCACATTACAGCATTACAAATGTGCGTAGTTAAGAACGGGACCTGTCAATCTTCACTGGACATTTCTCGTCTTAGTGTCCTTGTCAACGGAGTCATCAAAATTTTTTTTCGGAATATCCTCTCGAGCATTGGTTAACCGCACGAATTAAATATGAAGATACTTTTTCTTCTCTTTCCGCGTTCCTGGGCGGTTTTCACTGCCTTTAAGTACCGAAATAATCGATGACCGTCAGTCGCTTCACTTCGCGACCGCAAAAGCGGAATACATAAACGAAATTACTTCTGCACAAACGTAATATCGTTTACGTATTCTGCGTACGCATGACTAGTTACTTTTAGCAAGCGTGAAAATTTTTATACGGGTTACCTGATAAAGTTTATTTAACAAGAAGCCTATCGTATAATAAACGTATCGTATCGTATATAAACGTCAAATCAAACTCAAAATGATAAACAACGCTGCAGACACTCCTCTTCAGCTCTTCACTTACCCTCTTTCATGTCGTTTTCCAATTCAATTGACTTGTCATCTAGTTTCTCGAGGATGTTCATAAGCTTAGCTAGCCAATCCCAAGGGTCGTTTTCGCTCCTGAACAAGATAGAGTAATTCATATATTAGTAAAATTAAATTTAAACAAAAACTCGCGAAAAAAACCGCAATCAACTCACTCGATTTCGAAATTTTCGAATGACGGTGGTGGATTCCATACACAGCTGTGACATAACATCCAGTCGGACCACACCTGCAACAAAAAGTAATTAAGTCTCGCGGCTGGAGGTAATGCTCTCCTGCGATCTCTCGCTCATTCTCATGTTCACTCAACTTACATTACATGCGTAAGGATATTGACGCCTCATTCACAACGAAACAGTTACATGTTATATAGTAAGGAATGTTATTTTTACGGCTGATTTTTATTCGTAATTCAATGAAAAAGGAATTCAGTTTACTAATAAATAATGTTTGTAAAAAAGAAATTGAGTGGACCATACCCGTAGCATGCGAATATGTATGCGTGGGTATTTTATACTTCAGTGTAAGATGAAGTTATATTTCAATAATATCTAATAAAACTACTTTTGGCGCGTTTTTTAAAAAAATATGAGAGTAATTTTTTACGATATGCGCGCACAGCGACCCTCAAAAAGCAACATGATGAAGTAGAATACAACAAGTTAATAAATACACCAAAAGAATTGAATAATTCCAAGTGATTTAAATAAACCGTAATCAATTGAATTTAATGTCTTACATGCGTACATAAGTACACACATACTTTGTAAATATGTAAACAAAGCAACTTTGGCAACACCGCAACCTGCCTAAACTGGTGTAAGAAAAAATAAAGAATTTAAATTCTTCGAGATTTTATAAATAAATAAACATATATGAAAAATACGACGAGACGAAAGGGATTGGCGACCATTTATTATTTTCGCCGGTAATATGGACTAAAGTTTTGATCATAACACATGATGACCGCTGACTTTAGTCTATGAGATATGACCGACGAAACGCCGACCGCACACGGAGCCTGTAGGTAAAAGTACTGCTATTTACAACCGTTTTCACAAAGCTGACCTTCGTAAACGCGGGTTACTTAGTGCCACTACCGACGTTACAACGGCCGTCTTAGACATCAATGGGTAAGGCGTCACATAAACGAGACAATTCACGAAGGGTGAAATCATTGTTTCAACGGTACCTGATGCCTTGGAATGCAACTAAAACTGTATTAACCAATCTAGACTTAGGTTGTTTAGATAATATAACGAAGGAAGTAAATATTATGACATTATGAACAAACACGAATGAGGAAAAGTTAGAAACAAACAGATAAAAAAGTATAAGTCGATGGTTCCCTTTATCTGTGTTAGGGCCACGTAGTAGCTTCTGAGCGACCACACAGAAGACTGGTGCGAAGTGACATCATTTCGTGATTATAAAGTGTAGCCTTACCTTAATAGCTGGCAGTAGCAGCAAGGCATCGGCGTGTTGCTGCGTGTTTGGCGGTTCTGGTAGCAGTGCGCAGCATCGCTCTAACAGCGCACCGAACATGAGCAAAGACACGCCAAGCGCACACTCTAACCACGCCGACCGCTCTCCATTGCCGGTGTTTTCTATCAATGAGCAACATATTTATATAGACAACTAGATTTTGTTATCAATGAATGGTACTTATAAACACATAATTAGATAACAGTACTGTGCGTAAGTTTTGGCACGGGACAACCAACAATGATATAATAAAAAAAAATAACTTAAACACCATAAAATTGTATCGTACAATGTGAAAATAAATAAGCTCCATCGTAACGTTCACTTTTCTTTTGAATATGTTCTCGCACATTCTCGGCATTTTATTAACTAATTTCTTAAAATAATCTACATTAAATTTGTTCCTTTCGCACTTTCATTGTGGTTACGAACATTAGAACAAAGTTAAGTCAAGAGTCAAGGCGAAATGCGAAGAGCCTCCTGGTTTAATTATTCTCACAAGGTTTACGGGTTTAGTGTTGCCCAAACAACCTAATAATGTCTAGCTTAATAGAAAGAGGTATTATAATGTCGAAGAATACGTTGACGACTAGCATTAATTTTCATGTCGATTTATAGGAAATCAAATGTCATTTAAGATATCAAATCATATATAAAGGCATGTCCCAAGAAATCTTTCATTATTTTGCGTAAAATTCTTACTAAAACGAGTCGAGAGAATCAGGTTACGGATGAAGTTCGAGAAAAATTTTCTTTCTATGCCTAGTTATAGTGTAAAATCAATGGCGAAAGGCAAAGGTCATTGCGATTCCTAATCCGGGAAAACCAGCAGATGATCCCAAAAACTTTGGGCCAATATCCTTACTGTACCATACTTACAAGTTATTTGAAAGGGTGCTGCTAACCCGACTAATAATAATAAATAAACTAATAGCTCAATTGACTCAAAGCTGATTCCTGAACAAGCTCGATTCAAACCCGTTAAATCTTGCAGCAACCAAACACTCAAATTAACGCAACATATTGAAGATGGTTTCGAGGGTGGGATGGTTACGGGTGCTGTGTTCGATCTGTCTGCAGCTTATGATATTGTTAACCTAAGACGTTTGCTGTGGAAGGTGGAGTCCATTACTAATGACAGTAAATTTGTCAACGTACTCCGCGAACTCCTACACAATCGTCGATTCCAGGTCCATCTTCTGTCCGATAGATGCCGTTGGAGAACCCAAAAGAACGGTTTGCCTCAAGGCAGTGTCTTGGTGTCTATCCTATTTAATGTGTATACCAACGACCAACCTTCATCTACCTGCACGTTCCGCTTCATGTATACAGACGACCTCGCTCTGACCTCCCAAGCCGCCAGTTTCGAACAGGTTGAAAACAATCTAACGAATGCTCTGCAAAGCTTGGAAGAGTACTATGGCGCTAACTCTCTAAGGCCGAATCCGAGCAAGACTCGAACTTGCGTATTTCATCTACGCAACAAAGAAGCGGGCCGCAAGTTCAATATACAATGACGAGGAATGCTCATTGTACATGTCGACCATCCTAAATATTTAGGAGTCTTTCTTGATAGGTCACTAACGTACAGGAAAGACTGACAGGAGAACATCAAGCAGAAAGTGCACGCTATAAACAACCTCTTGCGCCTTCTGGTTGCGTCGAATTGGGGAGCTTCTCCTGATATTCTTCGAACCACTGGTCTGGCACTTTCCTTCTCTGCAGGCGAATATGCTGGTCCAGTATGGAGCCGTTCAGCCCATGCAAAACTGGTGGATACAGAATTAAACGAAACCTGTCGGATTATTACAGGTTGCCTAAAACCGACTCCGGTACCAAATACTGCACCAGCAATCATGTGCATTACTTCAGCGTGTTGAACAGCAATCATTGATGTTGAATGCGATAATTGCCACGTTCTTATTTATGGCAGATAATTTATGTCAAACAAACATATTGTATGTGAATCTGTATCAATAGAACACTATTTCCATTTCAATACAAAAAAATGGCTAAAGTATAATTTTCACATCAACATAACAACAAGCCAAATTGTTTTCGTTTATACTTTCATCCTCATATCTTCAAAAGGCTTTGTTTAATTTTATCTGACAGTTATCTTAATAGAAGTTGAGTCCACTAACAAGTTTACGTCCAAAACTTTCCACATAACAATCTCAAAACAAATCGGACCAATTTGTTATCAAACTGTGTTGGAACCGCTTTAGGAAATGACTAATCCGAAGACAGCGGTAAAATTCTTGTATCTACTTTTTACTGTTATGTATTCTAAACCATAGAAGTTTCAAAAGCAAAAAAACTTTCTTCCACTTAGATATTTAATTTACATTCATAAAACGGTTTCTATAAACATCAATCAAAGCTGGGCTAACTTTTTGGAAGGCAATCTAGATAGTCAGTGAATTGAAACAAGAATCCATAGTTGTAGTTCCATTTAATGAGTTCAGTGCAATTAATGTAACTATTTACCTCTTTTTCCTCCGAGCTAATATACAAGTACAAAGCTAGTACAAAGTGTCTGAATTAATATACGATAGCATATCCAACAACTTATAAATGACAAAGGGACGACTAACACGTCTGCTATTTTTATCTGATACTTTAATTTACATTATGCAACACTATTTATAACGTTTGCAAAGTGTAAATTTCTCACATGTAACATAGATAGCTAAGAAACAGTCACGTTGAAATTACGCTCAAACTGCGATAAGATATTATCGCTTAATTACTACTGAAGGTGAGCAAAAACAACCAAGATAACCCATCCTACTAGACGAGACTTGTTCTAATTATGCTATGTATAAGGCATTAAATATCGGTCACAAGGCATATAATATCCATCACCTCGATATAATTGACTATAACAAGCTGTTAAAAAATTAAAATGCCAGTTTATGAAGTAAAGAATCTAGAAGCTGTACAGATGACGGCCGACAGGGCCCCAGGCGTGTGGAGCCGGTCCGATATAAATAGAGCCGTCTAAAAATAACAGAACGGATTGCACCTGCATGGACGTAACACCCACTGTCTTTAAACACGCCGTAGCATATATTCTCACGATCGACTATTATTGCGACGGTGCGTGAATACCACTAATAAACCCTATTAGGACGAGATTCATATTTGAGGCACAATACAACTATCGGAAATTTGCGTTTAGTAAAATATTTCATGCCACCACAGCTGAGTCGCACTCAAGTTACTTTCATGTAATAAGAAAGGAAGTAAATTAGTAAATGTATAAAACGTCACCACGGGAAATTATTTAAACTTCTATTATGTACGTCGACAGAATACCGTAAATGTTAAATGTCGTAATTTAAATATGTAGCAAGAGAACACTATAAGCTCGTAAATTTTCGCGGCATAATCGTCCCAATGGGAAGCCAAAGAGCTCGGTGGCACGGAGCGTCGTAATTAAGGGCCTCGCGCGTCGTAATTTCCCTCTTATAACACAAAATATCATTACGTGTAATCGCGTAAAAACGGCGTCAACGCTGAGGGGAGTCAGTTTGTTGAACCTGTCTCCGTCGGACGTGCGGTGCGGCGCGGCGCGCGGGCTCGGCGCCGCCGCGGTGCATCAACCTCCCGATAACTTGTAATTTGTAATTACAAACCTTTACTGCTCCCGGACGGGCAGGAAACAGCCGGGTTTACAGGTCCGCTTTATGCGCTAATTTTGAAAATCAATTACGCGTGTACGCAATAATTGCGGCCGTAGGATTCGCGGGACGCGCTTTAGGTGCCTAAAATTTAAAGTCACGACACTAAGGTATAGGTTTGGTGTTACCTATATAATTTCAATTGCTTAGAACGGTTAAATTGCCGTCCAATTCGCTTCATTGAGATTAAATAAAAAAAATGTAAAAGATAATTCAACGGGATTACCTAATCGTTTTTAGCCACTTTAGCATTTTTGTCTGATTCAACATGATGCAACAGCTTTGGCTGTCTGGCGGTTGAATAAATATAAAACCTTGAATTTAATACATGGAATTTAGTCAGGTTATAGAAAACACTTGTTTTTTTTTTCTTTTTTTTGTACCAAGGGCTTCTTTGGACAAGTTACCAGTCATAATCATATAAATAAACATCACAATAAATCTACCGTGAATTAGCTTAAAGCCAAATGGAGACCTGCCAAAAAATAGTGCAATGCAATCTTGTATTTATCTAACATCACGAAACTAATGCATTTTCTACGAAAAAATACCATAATTTGTTTGTGTACAAAATATCAAAAACAAAAATATATAATAACGGTTTAGTAAATAATATTGCTGATAATAATTTATAGAAAAAATAATTTCTTCGGTCCATAGGGCTATCATTACCTTATTTCATAGACACGCTCGTCAACCTCCGCTAGGTTAATGATAGCAACTTTTACGATAAGCAATTATTTCTGATACCCGCTGATTACTCTTCAATGTATAATTAATTTTGTACTTTCAAAGAACGCAATTAATTCCTCTGTTGTGCGCCAATAAAGGGTTAATAGGACAGTAATTTTTCATGTTATAGAGACTGGTTTACACTGAAAATTAAAAAAAAATATATTTAATCGCATTGTTGCAAATAAAAATAAATGAACGCATAAGAATTATTAGAAAAGTCTGCATATTTCAAATATACACTAGCTAATAAATAATAGAACAAAAATTGCACTAGAATTAGTGTCAGTCGCAAGCTACGTATAATTTCTCTAAAACTAGTCCCATAAGCATTCATTCGATAAATCACGATTATAAACTTCCACTTGCAATAATAACGATGAAATATTGTAATATAAAACTGTAAGGTTTATATCACAAAGCACCCAGTCCAATAAATATAATATTCCGTGTTTAAATAATAACCCATGCCTAAGCCATCATGCATGCCCAACCCATTGATATAGTAACTAATCAGAATAAGAACCAGACATAATTTCCACGTCAGACACGGGATCGAATAAAAACGAGGATAAACGAAAGTTATCATTTTCAAATAACCCGGTATTAAATTATCTAACGGAATACCTGTTGCACAATACTAAATCATACTTAAAGCGTTGTTAGGCAATGAATGAGCGGATACGAGTAATAAAAATAAATTC